AACACAAGCTGGGGGATGTAAGGATAGAGCGCAGCCCCACCAAAAAGGACTTGGGGGAACTGGTGGATGGCAGCAGCTGGACATGAGCCAGCAGTGCCCCTTGCAGCCCAGAAAGCCAACCGTATCCTAGATTGCATTCAAAGCAGCATGGCCAGCAGGGTGAGGGGGGGATCTGCCCTTCTGCTCTGAGCTGTGAGACCTCACCTGGAGTGCTGCGTCCAGATGGGGAGTGCTCAGTGCAGGAGAGACATCGAGCTGTTGGAGCACGTCCAGAGGAGGGCCACAAAAATGACTCCAGGGATGGAACACCTCTCCTACGAGGAAAGGCTGAAAGAGCTGGGGCTGTTCAGCCTGGAGAAGAGAAGGCTGTGAGGTGACCTGAGAGAGGCCTGTCAGTATCTAAAGGGGAGATGCAGGAAAGAAGGGGAGAGACTTTAGCAGAGTCTGTGGTGATAGAACAAGGGGAAATGGTTTCAAGCTCAAAAAGGGGAGATTTAGGTTAGATATAAGGAAAAAATCTTTTACAGTGAGGGTGGTGAGGAACTGAAACAGGTTGCCTAGAGATGTAGTGGATGCCCTGTCCCTGGAGACTTTCAAGGCACAGATGGACCAGGCCATGGGCAGCCTGATCTAGTTGTGGTGTCTCTGTTCATTGCAGGGGAGTTGTACTAGATGGCTGTCATGGTTTTATGATTTATGGTTATCAGTATTCCACATCATAACATCATGTAGTGCACTGGGAGTTAAAGAGTTAATGCTCCAGTTCTGGACACTTGTCCAGAAGAGAAGAACTACATTCCCCAGAAGACCGTTCGCTGTGTTGTTATCATTTCTGCTCAGGGGGAACACATATAAAGCCTCAGTAGGTCACCTGACGTCCCTCTTTTCTGTCATCAGGCTCTCTCGCTGCTGCTCGTCACAACCACACGCCATTAGTATAAGGCCTTCAGCTTTTTTGGACACTCTTTCTCTCATTATATTTGATTTATTAGCTTCAATTCTAATTATATTGTATTATAGTGTGTTATCTTGCATTACAATACCATATTTAGTAAATTAGTTTGTCTTTCCTCAGATCGTTGCTGCTGTTTTTAATTATTCAGGGTCCCCTGTTTCCCCTTTCTGGAGGCGTGAATCTGTAGATCCCTCTGCCCCGTTAGCCACAGAAGTGGACCAAACCAGCCAGGTTGTCTGTACTTTTTACACCAGAGGTAGCTTTGCAGCAAGGTAAAGGTTGCAATTTTAACCTGGCTGGGTGGCATAAACTCTGTTCATAACTGCACCATTGGGCTGACTGGTGTATATTCCTGTGGAAAATGAACTGGAGCTAAGGCTTGGAAAATTCTGTGTTAATGTGGAACTCTTCCCTACTCCCAGAGGGGTTTTGTTTTTTAAATTAGATTTTTTATTTAATTATTTATTTGATTAAATAAACCATCGACATTTGCCTTCAGAGCTCCCTTCCAACTCTGAGGATTTTATGATTCTATATACTGAAAATGTATTTTGGAAAGGAATTGTGGTTTTTCCTTTAATTGAAATGTTTGCAAAAAATAGGGAAACCTATTAACAGCATTTTTTTTTCCTTTGAATTTTCCTTTCTTCTTTTCCAGTCAGATGTTTTCAATTTTCTCGTTCAAATGGATGGCATTAATCGTTTGTAATATTTAAAATTGTTTATTTTAAACATCTGGAAACTTTTGTCATATATATAATCCTGTGACACGGAATTAACTAGATCAGTTTATGCCCGTGACAGGGGGCAGTAGGCCCCTGCCCTCCCCACCCCCCGCCTGGGCCCACAAAATGGGAAGGTAGGGGGAAAAGGAAAAAAACAGCGGCAACAATCTATGGAGGTAAACTTATTTTACTAACTATGATATCGGAATGCAAAATAATACAATATAATACAATCTAATTGGAATTGAGACTAATAAATCAAATAAGATATGAGAGAGAGTTCCCAAGACTGAGTCAAACCTGAAAAAGCTTGGAACGGCTAGGAAAGCACCCTCCAGCACCCATTGCCAGGCAGTAAGAGACCGCCCCCCCCGGAAGGGTCAGATCCCGTGACTTCCGTAATGTATAGGGATAGGTATGTAGAGTTAGAGCATTAACACTTTAATTCCAGTACATGATGTTTTGATGTGGAATATTGAAAATCAAATAAAAAAACAAAACAAAACCATGACATCCTGAATTCATTAAGCAATAATAGTTTGCTTACCAAAATCAGATTCTCACCTTTACTTTTTTCTCCTGAATAAACCAGTGTTGTATTGGCTTTTTCAACAACAAGAAGCTTGCTGATTTATATTAATAGGAAATAAGCACTTACATTCCTAACAAGGTTTAGACAACCACTTTCATGCAAATGAAAGGGAGGGGAGTGACAAGTTCATTAAACTGATTTTATATGTATATGTACATATAGGAATATCATTTCTACAAAAGCAACAAGACTGTGCTAAAATAATTTCATTTAATCTGTGAGGGAAGGCAAACAACAGTATGCTGTATCTATGGGAAAGACTGTGAAGACAATAAGCTACAAGATTATTTGAGATTACATATAATACCGAAACACAGTAATGCAGTAATCAAAGTCAGAAGAGAATACCATAGAAGATGCAACTTAAAGAGAAAAACAGCAGGGTATAAATGTGTTAGAATCATCTAAACTGACACTGAGCTGCTGGAGCAGGTCCAGAGGAGGGCCAAAAAGATGATCAGAGGGCTGGCGCACCTTCCCTACAAGCGTGTCATGGTTTTATGATTTTTGGTTATCAGTATTCCACATCATAACATCATGTAATGCACTGAGGGTTTGACTGTGGATGCTCAAGTTCCGGGTGCCTGTCTGGAGGAGAAGAACAGCTACATTCCCCAGGGGGCTTTGCGGTCAGCAAGGAGATGTATCTCCCGGCAAGGTCACTTGGTGTTCTCTTCTTTGCCTGCTCTTCTTCTCCTGCGCTTCTCCGTCTGCTCGTCTCTGTCTGCTTTTCTTCATCTGCTCAACTGGACTGCACTTCTAACCTCAGCGTTGTGGTGAGGCCTATCCACCTTTTGCACACACTCTCTCCCTCTCTCTCATTATATTTTGCTGATACTATATTTAGTAAATGAGTTTGTTTCACCTCAGATCGTTGCCGCTGTTTTCAATTATTTTGGGTCCCCTGTTTCCCTTTTCCGGAGGCGCGGATCTGCGGATCCCTCCGCCCTGCTAGTCACGGAACCGGGCTGAATCAGCCCGTAAACCGTTGACAGAGGGCAGGATGAGAGTGCTGGGGATCTTCAGCTTGGAGAAGAGAAGGCTGTGGGGAAACCTTATAGCAGCCTGTCAGTGCCTGAAGGGGCCTACAAGAAAGCTGGGGAGGGACTTTTTAGAAGAGCATGTAGTGACAGAAGGGGAAATGGTTTTAAACTGTCAGAAGGTAGATTTAGACTAGATATTAGGAAGAAATTCTTTACTGTGAGGGTGGTGAGACACTGGAACAGGTTGCCCAGCAAGGTTGTGGATACCCCCTACCCCAGAGGTGTTCAAAGCCAGGCTGGATGGGGCTGTGAGCAACCTGGTCTGGTGGGAGGTATCCCTGTCTACAGCAGGGGAGTTGGATCTAGATGATACTAAAGGTCCCTTCCAACCTAAACCATTCTATGAAGACTTAAGCCTGATTCTGCTTTCATTGACATCGGCACAAATACAGTATAATTGCACTGATATTAGGGGGTGTAACTAGAACTAAGTTTTGCTTTTAGAAGGCAAGATATGAAACTTCATTTCAGCACATAAAAAGGTACTGGCTAAAAAGCTGTGAAAGTGGGAGTATTCGTTTCTGTTAGCAGGCACAGGAGAAATTCACTTAATGTGTTTGGGTAATAAAAAGCTTTGAACAACTGAATGTTTAGATGCCTTCCGAGAACTTGAGACAAGTAAACCCACTGAAGTTAGTAGAATCATTAATGACAAAAATAACCTTGGGTGTGAGAGTTAATGGGCTCAAGTAATAATAAAAAAATGCTACAACTTCAGGAATGTGCAGATTAAATAATTTTTTAGTAGCAATATAGTTGCAACTCTTACAAGATAAATATTATTTATAATATTAATCTTTATTATTTATAATAATAGTATTTATCTTGTAAAAAATAAGCCTGTGGAACTTGCTCACCTCCCCTAACACAATCTGCCAGTGTGCCACATTTGCAGCATCCACACTGCAGTACCTCGCTAGACCTTTTTTTTTTTTTTCCCTTCAATCAAACTGGGACAACCCATGAGCCACCTTGCTTTCCCTATAGCACTGTGTGTCAATTTCCTGATTCATGCTTTGGTAGTCTAAAAGTCTCTCACAGTTGTTCTCAACTTTGACACTGTAACTCTGGGAAAAGAGGAAATTTTGGCACAATCCAGGGAGATCCACCTTTTTCCATTTGTTTGCTGTGAAAATATTTTTTTTCCCCAATAGTGAAGCAGGGGAAATAAGTGATACAAGTTGTAATTTGTTTAGATAACAGAAAGAGCTGTGTCTCTGGACCTAGGAGATAAGGAAGCTCTGCTGAATCTTTGTACCAAGGAAATAGGTTCTGCTTGGAATCAGTTACTGAATAAGTAACATACAGATGCAGAAGTTTCCCGGAGGTAACACAAGTAACGTATATAAGCTGTAGATCTTTTGTGCAAGACATATGTGATAGGAGAAGCTAACCCCCATGCACCCAGCGGTGATAATAAAGAATGCCTGCTTTCTAACACTCCAACTTGAGTCTTAAGAATTTCCTGATCGAACGATTTACGGTATAATGAGGAAGGTCCTTATACTTCACTCTTGTCCCTGCGTCCCTCACACCCCGCAGGCAAGAGCCGAAAATCTGTCCCCTACAACCGAGCACTCCACGAGCTGCCCGCATGCGCAGCGTGCCCTAGTGAGCGCGCAAGTGCAGCTTGCCTATCTACTCTTTCCCGTCGCCTAGCTTCCTCCCTTTTCCTTGCTCCACCTATACCGTCATGCGCGCTCTCTGGCTCCCAAGAGGAGTAGGGTCAGAGTGTGGAATTATATCTTTTGTAGGGGGACGAGGCAGTAGGGTTTTGGTTTTGTTGATCTGACTTGAATGTTCAGACAAATCTTGTTCAGAGCCAGTCTCTGTCGGAGAAACGTTCCCCTCCTCTTGGCTCCGCTCCCCACAGACGTGGGAGGAAGTCTGAGATTCTTTGTCACCACCTCTTCGGTGGCGGGGGGGGAGGGGGTTAGGACGGGGCGAGGCTCAGCATGATGGCGGCCGAGCGTGAGGAGGAGGTTTCGGTTACCTCTGCCAGGATGGTGGGAGCGTTCGGCGGAGCTGAGCTGGGGCGCTACTCCGTCCTATGTCGGAGCAAGGAACTGGGGTCGCAGGGCCACTTACTGGCGGGCTCTGGTGGGGACAACCCAGGCGCTGGCGGTCCGGCTTTGTGCTCGACCCTTGAGCTTCTGGAGCTCAGCTCGGGGCCTGCTCCTCTGACGTCTGGAAGCAGCGGTGCCGTGACGACTGGACAGGGACTGAAGGTAACCGGAGGGACGTTTCCTGAGCCTGGTACCGTCACTTTCTCTCTGCTGCCGTCACAGCCACCTTCTTTGGCGGGGGTGCTGGGGACTGTGGAGGAGAGCGACTCACTGGATGGGCCGGAGTACGAAGAGGAGGAGGTGGCCATCCCGCTCAGCGCTCCCCCGATGAACCAGTGAGTAGTAACGCTGTGGTGCCCTGCCGGGCGCCCATCACGCCTGGGCGCTTTCCCCGAGGGTGAGAGCAAAGTCAGCGGGATCCTATATTTTTTCACCTGAAAATATGTGCCAAAGTTCTGTGCAAGTCTTGTAGAAGTTTTGTGCCCTCCCCTTGCTCTGATTGTGGAATTTAGACCGGAGAGTTTTGTGCGTAAGAAGTATCAAACCTTGGGACGGCTTCAGACATAGGTTTTCATTTTGGATGAATTTGTGGCCTGGCTCAGCTTTGTTTCAGGATCCTGTTTAACTTGTGTATGCAGCAGGCTCCACAGAAAGTCAGTCCTGCTTATTTGTTGCTTTGAAGCGTGTCCCATTCATCTGTTGGCCATGTACTGTTTTATCAACTGACAGTGGGTGAATGTGGGTGTAATAGATGTGTGCCTATATCTCAAGGAGCTATTGCCTGCCCTCTTCGCTCTAAGCTAGAGCAGTAACAATATAGAATGTCCGATTTAAAGGTAACACTCTACAACTAACTGGAGTCAGCTTCAGTAAAGATTGATTTACACTAGTTAACTTTTTCAGCGTTTAATACTAATACAACAAATAGCCAAAAGGAATGAACTGTCCTGAAAATGATTTAACTATCTGTTGAGCTATTGGGGAAACTTTTCCAATCTCTGGAAGCATGGTAATCTTTTTCAGAAGAGTAATAAACTTTAATTTTTAAAAGATAAACTAGCTAAAAGATTTAAAAAGATTTCTTATACTGCATAATCATTTTATATTGTAAGGTTTTTTTAACAAAGAAAATTAAGTTTTAGCTTTCTCATTTCAGATAAAAACAATGTGGTATACTTGTTTTCTGTCTTTGTTTTGCTTTTAAATTCAGGCAGACTTGAAACAAATTTGATAACACAATAACTGTTTTATATATTTTAAAGTATTAGTAGAGAGGATATTTTTGTAAGTAACGCTTAACTTTGCTGCTTTGCTTCTCAGTTAACTTAAAACTTGTTTTTAAGTAGGCAACGTTTGAATAGAAGAAGCAGTTGGAAAAAAAACCTAAATTTTCATCAAAGTTTGTCTTATACTTATCCTTTCATTAGGTTAATTAGTATTCCTCATGTGCTGTTATCATAAAGAAACTTGCACTAGAGGCATGGCAGTTCTGTGTCTATATTTTGCAAAATAAAAGATCAGAAATTATTATATAGACTTGATGTAATTAGTGAATTCTGTAAACATAGCCTTAGCTAGCTAAATATAGAAAGTCTACATGTTTACATTGAAATGTTGCAAGGCTTGTATTGGAGCAGAGAATAACCCTCAAGCAAGAACCTTATTTCCCTAGATAAAACATTGATATATAGAAATAATTATTGTTGAATATATAGTAACTATAGTGGATAATTTAGGGTTTCGAGATAAACTTCAGGTTTCATTTTAAATTCCTATAACTCCAGTGTCAGAGTTAACTTATACATTATTTCAGGTATTTCCACGATTTCAGAAACCATTGCAGTTGTAAGGAGGACATAAACTGTAAGTGGAATAATTATTTATGAATGATCACCTATTCTGTACAAAATAGTTGTTACTGCTTCCACTAATGTGAGTAGATTTTGTTGTCAGAATGTTGTCTTATAACTCATGTGATAGCTCTCAGCCTTTTCTCATAGGAGAAATGCTCCAGTCCCTTGATCATCTTTTTGGCCCTGTGCTGGACTCTCTTTCCATATGCCCATGTCTCATCTGTAATGAGCAGCCCAGAATTGGGCACGGGACTCCAGGTGTAGCCTCACCAGACCTGAGTAGTGGGAAAAAGGGCCATCTCCCTTGACCTGCTGGCAATAATTTCTAATGCAGCCTAGGATATTTCTTGCTGCCTTTGCTGCAAGGGGATGTTGCTGGCTCATGCTCAACAAGGGGTCCATCAGGACCCCTAGGTCCTTTTCTGCCAGGCTGCTTTCCAGCTGGGTGCCCCCCAGCATGTACTGATGCCTTGGGGTTATTTCTCCCTGACGTGCAGAAATCAAACCCTATAGCCTGTAAGGATATAGAGAAGGTATGTTTTATTGGCAATTGCGCAAAAGCCCTGGTGCAAGGGGAATAATTCCTTCAAGCTTGCACACCATCTGGAAAAATCGTGCTACAGATATAGGCCAAACTAATACATAATCACTAGTTTTCCCAGAATTCGGATACATATTCATTACACCCCCGAGAGTTCATTAGCATGCAGACCCTCCCCTCTTGCACGTGCATAGTGGGTCATGGGATGAAGATTTGTTGTCTTCGTGAAGGCTTCTGACCTTTTTTGCTGTCAACTTCTGACCTTTCGGGGGGGCATCCCCCCAAACTGGTTTCTTTTTGCCCTGTGGACATCTAATCACCTCCCTGCCAGATGTCTCTGGGTTGTTCTCAAACCTTATCAGCATGGCCTTCATCCCCCTCACTATCCCATATTTTTCTAACAAGCTCTACATTCCTGCTTCTATAAACTATTGTTAACTATCCCCCTCTACCCCCCTATTCTCAGTTACTGTGAAACCTTCTCCTTGCCTTTTTACTTTCACTTATGGGGCCCCTTTTCACCTTTCACTCCCCAGATGCAGGACTTGGCACTACTGTTGTTGAACTGCATGAGGGTTCTGTCAGCCCATTTCTCCAGCCTGTTCATGTTTCCATGGATGGTAGTGTGCACCTCTGACGTATCAGTTGCTCCTAGTTTTGTGTTATCAGCAAACTTGCCAAGGGTACGCTCTGCCCTCATCTAGATCGTTAATGGAGATGTTGAACAGAACTGGACCCAGTATTCACTTCTAGGATATTTTGTTAGTGAATAGCCTATTTACTGAAATGTTACTTGAAGTAGTCTGGGCAATATCTATTAGCAAAAACTTTAAAGAAAAGTACAAGAAAACCTAAGGTAGGTAAAGAGTATTTTATTTTCTATGTAGATAATTTTCCTCTTCTGTTGTAAAAGCTCAAGAATTTGTTTTGTATTTAATTCTAAGGTAGCTAATAGTGTTGTTTAAATAATTGTCAGCGGTTTACAGGCTGGCTCGGCCCGGTTCCATGACTAGCAGAGGGATTCGTGAATCCATGCCTCCAGAAAGGGGAAACAGGGGACCCCAAATAATCCAAAAAGAGCAGCAACGATCTGAGGAGAAACAAACTAATTTACTAAATATGGTATTGGAATGCAAGATAACACACCATAACACAACATAATTAGAATTGAAGCCAATAAATCAAATATAATGAGAGAGTGTCTGAGAACTGAAGGCCTCACCATAACGCTGAAGTGAGATGTGCAGGGAGGAGAGCCTGATGATCAAAAAGAGGGACATCAGGTAACCTACCAAGGCCTTATATCTGTTCCCCCTGAGTGGAAATGATAACAGAACAGCGAGCAGTCTTCTGGGGAATGTAGTAGTAGTTCTCTTCCGGGACAGGTACCCGGACCTGGAGCATTAACTCTTTAACTCCCAGTGCACTACATGATGTTATGGTGTGGAATACCGACAACCAAAAATCATAAAACCATTACAATAATAACTTTTTAATGTGTACCTTTCATAGAGTTTTATTAATTATTGTATAAAAACCAATGTTTGCTAGAGCACTCATACCCAGTCAGTGTTTTGATATGTTAGCCCAGTTCTTACAATGATTTGGATTCTAATTTAATCTTCAGTTTTCAATATTTTCAAGCAGCTTCTTGTGACCAGTTTCACATAGAATCATTTTTTCACTAAAGATTAGTTGTTTCATTTTGTTAAAACTGAAATTTTAATAGTTCACTCTTCAATGGGTTTCTGGTTTATAGATGTATGGTTTCTTTCTGCTTTGTTTTTTGAAATAATTTCCAGGTACTAAGGTTAAGGATGTGTTTAGGCTTAGCCAACACTTGATAATTGGCTCAGGCATCTATGGTGTTTGTGTGTAATTTGTGTAAAGTTTTTTCTTAAAAATATATATTTACATCTACCTGTTTTTTTCTGTAGAATTATGCATATGTATATACATGTTCACCCATATGTAATATACCCCCAAAAGGATATTCTGTGGCTTACTCATTGGGTTTTGTTTGATCAATTTACATGTAAAACTTACATATAGAGATATGAAAAAGAAATTAATTGATTTATGATTCTTCTGAAATTGCATAAACTTTTCTGTTAGTAGAATAAATAACATTGGAGAGTTAGGAAAATATTCAAGCTTGAATCTTGCAATATTTGCTTAGTCCAGAAGACTGAAGAGTGACTTATGTTGTTTTGTGAAAACTACAGCCCATTTTCTACACCCTTTCCTTACTTTTTTTCTTACACATATTTCTGAACTTTCTGAGCATCTGTGGAGAGGTTTTTTTTTTTGTTTTTTGTTCTTTTTTTATTCCTTGGCAATCAAATAGATGCTAGAGAAATGTCATTTTTTCGAAAAGGAGAACATAATAGATAACCGCTGTAGTAATCATCTCATTCTATGTTCAAGTCCAGAAACTGTCTTTTTGTACCAGTGCACAAACAATAGAATTGTTAGGTTGCAAGTCATTCCAAACAAGCTTTATGAGTTGACTAGTTTATATTGCATTTGTTTTTACACATGTAGTTCTTTTCTTAGTTATACTGTATTGGGTTTATGTGATGAGGCTTTGAAGGGGTGGCTTCAGGGATGGCTTCTGTGAGAATGTTGCCAAAAACTTAACGAGCATGCACTCTTGAAACATGCTTACAACATATATTTAGAGAAGACATTGTCAGGTGGAATATTTCCACAAATCAAGCACATCTTCTGCTCATGCAAGTTCTTTTATACATACACCATTACATTATTCCACCTTGTTAATACAGAAGAAATGCCTACTACATATTCATAAAGCATGATACTCCATTCCTTTTTGGCTGCTTTCCCCAACCATCTGCACTTGCAGGGAGTTGTATGGGGGTCTTGCGTGACCCCTGGTGGTTATTTGGAGAATGTTTTCCTTTTTTCCCTTATTTGGTCATGACTCTTCTAGGGACATTGTTATTCCTGTTTTGCACTGATGGTTTCTCAGTTCAAAGACCAAAGAGGAGGAGAAGATATATCCTGGACTAGACACTTTTGCTGGCATGCGATGTTCCTCTTCAGGGATTGTTGGCAGTTATCCAAGCATCAGCTATTGAAATAAATTTGCAGTGCTTAACGGAAGCATATATATGTTCTTTCCCATACCTGATATCAAGAAGAGACCAGGAGCTGCTTCATATTAGATAAGAGCCAGTTCCAGTTGGCTCCAAAAAGGGACCTGCCCATGCAGGAGCAGGCTTCTGGCAGGAACTGCAGCCTATGGAGGAGAGCCTGTGCTGGAGCAGTTCTTGAAGAACTGCATCCTGTAGGAAGGACCCACATTTGAGCAGGGGAAGAGAGTGAGGAGGAAGAAACAGTGGAGATGAAGTGTTATGAACTGACCCCAACTGCCGTTCTCAGAGTTGGAGGGAGGAGATGGAAGAGTTGGGAAGTAAGGAATGAAGTAGAACTTGGGTAGGAGGGATGGGAGTGTGAAGAAGGTGTTTTTAGTTTTATTTTTGGTTCTCACTGCCTTATTGTTATCAACTGGCAATAAATTAAATTGATCTCCCCGAAGCAGAGTATTTTGCCCATGGCAGTAATTGGTGAGTGATCTCCCTGTCCTTATCTCAACCTACAAACATTTTTTCATTCTAATTTTCCCCTTGTCTTGCTGAGGAAGAGTGTTAGTGTGTGGCTTGATGGGTAGCTGGCAGCCAGCCAAGGTTAACCCACCACATCTTCTCATGATTCTTTTGCATCACAATATTGGATTAGGTGCATATACGAATTGTACATAGATAATTTCACAATGCTTGCATAGCTTCAGTAAGTAAATTCTGTAATGTGTGAAAGGTATGAAGGTGGAGATGGTAAGGGTGTTTTGACTGTCTCCTAGTTCTCCATTCTTTTGGATTTTGTTGAAGCAGCCATGTACAGCTAAAGAGATGAGTGAAATAGATGTAGCATTTGATGGATTTTTCTACTTGCTGTAATTTGTTTGAAATAGATTGAAATAGAGAGGATTTTCAGCAATTATCGACATCTTCATTTTTAAGTTGATGAAAAGCATTGTTTCCCTTCAATGGTTTCCTGTTCCATTCCATCCTCTTGGGCCTATTTTGTTCCCAAGTTAAAATTGCAACATACTGTAAAACCAAAATGCTTTAGTGGAACAGCCAAACTTTAGAATATTTGCTTTTCCCATGTGCAATAAGGAAACCTGCAAATAAAAGGATTTGGTTGATCCGTGTGCGTGTTTCTATAAATAGTAGCACCTGTCTCATTGCTGTTAGCAAATCCATCTGATACCTCGTTGTTAACAGTCCGTCTCACAAACGTTGTAGTACTTCAGTGACAAGGGCCTGTGATTTGTCCCATGAGTCTTCTAAAGGGTTGCAGTGTAGTAACATTACTGCTCACAGTAGAAAGTGTGCTAGTTGGGCCTAATGAGGCTTCCAAGATGGCTATTGCTCAGAGACTGGTTGGGTGTTGAATCTGCTTGTGAGAGGTAGTGAGTGATTACCTTAGAATCACTTGGTATGTTTCTTTTATTTATTTCCCTCTCCTTCTCATTCTTTTCTTAACACATTAAACTGTCTTTAACTCAAGTTGTGAGTTCTCCTGCATTTACTTTTCCTATTCTCTCTCCTGTCCAGCTGGAGGTTGAGGAGAGTGAGAGAGCAGTTGTGTTGTTGGTGCTTAGCTGCTGGCTGGGGTCAACCTACCACAGATAGGATCTTTCTGATATCGCCTCAAGTGCTAGGCGGTTAAACAGGCGAGCTCTTTGACTGGTTTAACTTGTTTTGATCAGGGTGAGGAGAATCAAAAGAGGGGGCTATACTAACAAGACTACAGCTTTGTCAGTGTAAGTAATCATAGCATTATTAAGGTTTGAAAAGACCACTAAGATCATCTAGTCCAACTGTTAACTCATGACCATTGTGCTCACCAAAACAAGACACTCAATGCCACATGTATCCTTTCCTTGAAAACCTCCAGGGATGGTGACTCCACAACCTCTCAGGGCAGCCTGTTCCAATGCCATACCACTCTCAATGAGAAGAAACCTTAAATTCCCAGTGCACTGCAAGTTGTTATGATGTGGAATACTGATGGAAAACCATAAAACCATGACATTCCACCCCTTATTCCACATCACTACATCATGCTTATTATATATTCAAAAAATAATTAACATGCATCAAACACACACACACATCTATATATGCACATGGAATTAATGTCTGCACTCCCCCTACATCAAATTTTCTTGTACACATTGAACATCCCCACCTTTCTGCATCACCCATTAAGTGGATACAGGTTGCTGGGTGAAAACAGTTGCATGGAAAGGTTTGCCCTTTCCATAAGCTGAAAGGATTGCTTTTTCCAACATGCTCTTTATGGGACCTTATCTCCCTCTACAGTATGTAGGAAGTTGGATTGGGTAGGACCATCACAATTGACAGATCGTCAAATGTTGACCAAGTGCTTCTTCCAATGCTTAAATGTTCTGCCACCCATTGCTTTCAACATGGTTTTTAACAACCCATTGTGGTGTTAGATTTTTCCAGAAGTTGATGCATGTTGGGGGTTATGATAAATCCACTCAATGCCATGATCTTTGTCCCAAGCATTTACAAGAGAATTTTTGAAACGAGTCCCATTATCTGACTCAATTCTTTCTGGGGTGCCAAGTCGCCACAGGACTTGTTTCTCATGACCCAATATGGTGTTTCGGGCAGTAGCATGGGGTACTGCATATGTTTCAAGCCACCCAGTGGTTGCCTCCACCATGGTAAGCACATAACACTTACCACTGCGGGATCGTGGCAGGGTGATAAAATCAACCTGCCCTGCCTCCCCATATTTATACTTTTGCCATCACCCTTCCTCCCAGAGTGGTTTCATCCTCTTGGCTTGTTTAATTGTGGCGCATGTTTCACAGTCATGGATAACCTGAGCAATAGCATCCATAGTTAAGTCCACCCCTCGGTCTCTAGCCCATTTGTATGTTGCATCTCTTCCTTGGTGGCCTGAGGTCTCATGAGCCCACCGAGTTAGAAATAATTCACCCTTGTGTTGTCAGTCCAAGTCT